TCGCGGTATTCATCTCATCGATCGTCTTCTTTTTTGGCAAGAATGTAAGGTGTTTGTGTGAGTATACTCCCATCGACAGCTGCCAACTCAGCACTGCTCGACACTCCATGACACCCCAAATACAGCCATAATGAGGGTGTGATGAACGCCTGTCAGGTGTATACTCGCGGTTCGACTTTTATAGAATGCATTTGGTCAGAATTTCCGTCAAGTTCGGTATTGGAGAAGAGATGAGGAGAATAGAAGTCGGGATGCAGGGGGCGAGACCGTTGGGATCGGAGGAGAGATGAAGAGGATCAGGATGGGTGGTCGGATTGCAGGAGAGGTGAAGAAGGCAGACGTCGAAATGGGGAACATGGGAAACGAGAGTCGGGATGGACGAGGAAGATGGAAATCGCGATAGGGGAGGTGGTGAGTCGGGATTTTTTTTTTTTTTTTTTTTTTTTTTTTTTTTTTTTTTTTTTTAAAGAAGGGGAGCATACTCGCAGATCGAATGTCGTTGCTGCTTTTACGTTTGAAAACATTTCGTCAAAATTTCCCTGGAAGACAATACTGGATACCGGTTGTTAAACTCTACGCTGATCGGCGCATGGTGAGTGCGCCTTCATTTCCCTGGTCTCCACTGTGGATTTTCGTCTGATCTCTTGATGTCTGTATGTTCCTCCTTCAAATTCCTCTCCTATTCTCTTTGTTTCCTTTCTCCTCGAACCTTGCCATTTCGAAATTCTGTCCATTCCTCTACGCCGCGGCGGGTCTACTTGTTTTTTTTAAAACAACTTTTCATCTAGTCTACCAGAGTGGTCCGGGACCACTTGCCCGGCCGGGCCAAAAAACAAAAGAAAAACTGAGTGGGGATCCGGGCCGCCTGGGTGACCGGCAGGGGCCCGGGGGAGGTCCCGGGCGGCCTGGCCGGGCAGGGCACCCAGTTGGGGGCCGGGCCCCCCCAGCGCCCTGATATGCACGTATATTTCATTGCATGCACCTGGTCTGCCATGCACAGAATATGTCAGAGAGTGTGAAGGTGAATGCATCGGAACATAGCTGCAAAAAGAAAAGAGAAAAGCAACAACAGTCGGGAAGAAAAAGTTTTTAAGATGTGATTAAATTCCTTGCGTTTGAAAGAAAAAGTTGAAAGCAATGAAAAGCTAGGCTACCAGCCGGGCTGCCTGGGTCACCCTGTTTTCCCGGGCGGCCCGGCCGTGCAAGGACCAGGGAAGGTCCCAGCAAAAAAAAAGAAAAGAAAAAGAAAAAGAAAAAGAAAAAGAAAAAAAAAACGAAAAAAAACAATGTTTAGCTGAGTGAGGACGCCGCCCGGTCGGTTGGGCCCGGGGGGGTCGCCCTGGTAAACCGGGCGGGACAAAAAACCGCCGAGAATTTTT